ATATGAAAATATATTTGAGTATATTATTTTTCAAAGTGTCAGAAATGGATAACAAAACTGCTATTTGCAATGACTACTTATTTTTGTCCAGCTTTAACATCGGTATCGATATCGGTTATCGGCTACATGAGTTTTAAAATATCGACATATCGGATATCGGCGAAAATCCCAATATCGTGCATCCCTAATAAAAACAGCTGTTTTTTCTTCTCTGAAGCTGGTTGGAAAATTTCCAAAAACTGTCTTAATGACTCATGTTTGGACATTTAACCAGTTAACCATCAGCTCTCCTGTCTGTGGGGCCTTCTAATATTCAACGTTTTCCTGCGATAATAAGACTCCTCTCCACCAATACAGCGGTTTTATATTTCAGGCTGAACCCAGCAGGCGTTAAAGACCACAAGCTGATTTAATTTATCCTTTTTCAGGTGTTTTAAAAATGTTTTTGGTGATTTAGTTGTGGCCTGCCTTACATCTGAGATCTTTATTGGTTTAAAAAATGTCGAAAAGCATCTTTTTATTTCCAATAAAAGTCACTGAAGTTCAAGATGAATGACTCTGTTTTAAGGCTCCATCGTTACACAGCAGCAGATCTTTATTCCACCCCCCCCTCTTAGAAATACAATAAAACTTCTGTCTCCTGTTTTCTATAAAAGCTTTTTTTTATTGTTCTGGGTGCTCTCTGTTATTTCTGTGTGCTTTTATAATCTCCTCCAGCTTTTATAAATCAGTAATACTGAATCAGATTATGGAGCGAAACCGAATAGGAAAACCTCCTGGCAAAGGCTTTCTAAACCAAATAGCTTTTGCTGCTCCGAGCCTCGATGCTCCGTCATTCCCGACACACTTGGAGGAGAAATTATTTTCCTCTTGGGAGCGGAGGCCTGATGGTCGACAGCAAATAGGTCAGATGTTCAGAAAAAAATACGTGAGCTTAATCGCAGATTTTTACCGCTCCAAAGAATCCAGGACAAACTCTTCAGCCACACAGGCGGATAAATCTGCATGTGAGCCTTGGCATGCATGTGACGGACTGGGAGGGATTGATGGATGCAGGTTTTACATGTTTATTTGGAGTTCAATCTGTCAGATGACTGGATGCTCCAGATTCACAGGAACTTATCCTACTTAAATCCTCGTATCTTGACCTTTGACCTGCAGCATTGTAGTGGGGCTGTACCTAAATGTGATCCTGTGTGTATCTTTACAAACCACAGCTGTTGTTCTTTAAAGTCTCAAACATGGATCCCTGCATAGAGATCCAGGAGAACTTGATCACCTACTGAGTTAAGTTTACATTTAGAAAAAAATAAACTCAGGAATTAACTATAAGTTAATGCTGATTATAACACTAAGTAAAAATCACTTTGGTAAACTAGTTTAATTTAGAATTTACTGCATTTTATTATTAGACTAAGAGATTTCATTTTGTCATTGTTGTTCTGATTGCTTCCCTATGGAAGCCAATTTATGCCACCTGAAAACATAAAAAAAAAAGACAAATGCTGCCATAATTAGGTGAAATAAAACCATAATCCCATAATCATGAATTTTAATGCCAAAAAATATGTCTGACCATCTGTCCATGTTTTACTATGAAATGGCAGAAATAGGCTTCCATAGTTTATTGCAGTTTCTGGTTCAACTGTTATCTTTTTCTTATTTTTTAGCCCTCGAAGCCCTCGTCTCTACAATGACATTTATAATATTTCAATATAAATAACTGACCTTAATGGTAACAGACGGACACTCTCAGCTTTATGTGTTTTTTTTTTTTTTTTATTAAAGGTAATATTTCTAAATTGTTATGGTATGCTACACGTATAAGGTACTATACGTGTAGAAAAAAGATAATGGAGTTGTTTTCTTTTTGTTCTAAACTTAAATACTCTTATTCTATTGGCAGTATGTTTACTTTTCTGCTCAAATCAAGGAAAAACAAAACTTTTTAAAAAAAAAATCACTTACCTGTATTCATTTTATACAGTGTAGGGACACTTAATTGCAAAAATCAAAGCTTAAGTGAGTCATTTATATAGAGGCCCTGAAATAACATTTTCCTAAAGGCCATATTGAGGCCTTTAGGAGTCACTTTTTCTCTTCTGGTCTCTTCTGGCCTTTCTTCTGGTCCTTTTAATTTGTGTCTTTTTTTTTTTTTTTTTTTGCAGAATTGATGGACTGAATGAATAAAAATAATATTTTACACAATCCAGTATAATTTACCACATGTAAACATCACAGTATGTATAATTGATACCATATATGTATAATTTAGTGTTATGCCTGAAACTAGTTATAGAGAATTTAAAACTATTCAGTCACATCCCTTCACCTTCCTTTAGTTCTTAACATCAACAATCTTTCTGGTTTCTATTCAATCTTTCAATCCATGCTGCTTCAGATGTTTAATTAAGGAAATTAATTAGTTTATGTTCATATAAATATTCACATTTACACCTTCCTATATGCATACATCATGTTTATTTTTTTTATTATGAAAAACAAGATTCAAAAATAATGAAATAGCTGTCAGGATGTGGTGTTTGATTGAGGACCCAGATGCAGAGACAAGTAGGCAGAGGTGAATTTAAGTGGGTTTAATAAGGTTCACAAGAACTTTGGCAGGAATGAAAAAAATCCAACAAAATAACAAACGAACCAGAACCAAGGGGACATCAGGGGAAAACCAAACTCTAGGAGCCAGGGAGAGACGAGGTAAGCAGACAGACGATTGACGAGGATCCAGTAAACAGGAACTGAAGAGGGAGGCTTTTAAAGGGGACAGAGACAAAGAGAGGGCTAACGAGGGGATTGAAAACAGGTGAGGGCAGAACAGAAAACAGAGCAAGAGAAAGAGGACACAAGAGGGCAGCAGAGGACGAAAAATGGAAAACCAAGAAAACAGGAACTAACAAACCAAGACTGTGACAATAGCCCTGCAAAAGCTGATCTAAAAAATGGTAAAAATATTTCTAAATCAGTGTTTGTCCTGAATTTTAGCAGGTAGAGAAGAACATTTACTAATGGATTGTTTTCCCTTAAGTAATAAGGGAAAACAATAATTAGATATTAGCACCTAAAGTGAGATAATGGAGTTTTCTTTTCTTATTTTAAATGCAAACAATCATATTCCATTGCAAAACGTTCCTTTTCTGCTCAGTACTAAATAAAACACACTTAGATTTCAGTTTTTGTTGCAAAATTGAATCAGTCGGTTTAAAATGTTTTCATACCACAGAAATTGATACTTAAAAGTAAAAAATGTCTTAAAATTAGTGCGTTTACCCTGAATTAGCACAGTTATATTAGATGATCTGCCAATAGAATTAACTGTTACTAAAGCATTTATTTGAGATATATATATTTATTTTAGGTGTAAAATCAATGCAGTAAAATACGATTAAGGGTTCAGTTTTAATAAATGTTATAAAAATATTGTCACACAGAGAGTGCCATGATGTTTAGGTCCAAAAGTCGTTGAGAGGATTTTATAGCCTTAAAATATGATCATAGATATTTAAAATTGAAATAAGGTAATATTATTATTATTTTAAACAGAAATCCTCTAAATTTATTGAAAACGTCTAACTTACTTGCTCAACAAAAAGAAAATTAGACTTGTTTAAATAAAAATAGATTAAAAAAAATTCCAGGAACTTGAGATAAATGGTGCAAAATGTTTTTTATTACTGCAAAAATTGATCTAAAACTAATCAAAAAGTTCCGAAAGTCGGCGTATTTGACCTTAATTTGATCATAAAAAATAAGATGATCTACCAATAAAATAAGTATCTTTGTCCTTAAAAAAAAAATCGTTGATTAACACACTTAAACTTTGAACATTTTGTTTAAAAACTTTCTTGAAATGGGTGCAATTTTTCCTAAATTCAGCCCATAAGAAAAATAATTAACCATTTAAAATAGATATATATGTTTAAATTAAAGAAAAAAATCAGCTCCATTGTATTATTTAAAGAGTATATCTAATTATCTGTGTTTCAGGGCAGATATATTATATCTCTGCTCAAATTAGTGTCAAAGTTCACTGAGCTGAAGTATTTTCTGCTTCCTTTTTGTCATGTTGGAAAGAAAACACTGGAATAAACCAAACCCTTTTGAATGAAGTTAAAGCTTGAAAAGTTTTGATTTTGAACCATAAAGTTGAAGCTAAATGAAGAATCAAAGCCAGATGATTAAACCAGAGCTGAGATGTGAATGAAGATGAGGGGATGAATGGATGACGGCCTCCAGATGATGGCTGCAGGCAGACATCCATGCAGCGGTGCTGCTGGACCACAACAGATGCTTTAATCCTCTAGTTTTCTCCGCATTTCATATTTTCTCCACCCGCTGTGTTGGATTACAGCTGCCATCCAATCGGCTTTGGGCCCACTCTGCAGCCATGATGGGAGATGAATGGCAGGCAGGTCGGTGGGGGGGGGGATGACGCTCCATGTGGACGTGTGCGGCTCACGGGACTGAATAGAACCACAGCGACTCGTTTGCTTCAGATCAGAGGAAACCAGGCTGAGGATGATGGTTCTGATGGGATGTCTGACCAGAACTGGACCTGTTTGCTTCAAACGCATCCAGATGAGACTTTTCTGGAGTCTCCCCAGGTTGTAATCCTTCGCTGGAGGAGGGTTAGAGTTGGGTTGGTCTATTTCTGTGCGTTCTGAAACGTTGGTGGTTCTGAGACCAGAATAGAACCCTATTTGGACCAATTAAGCTCCTCTTGTGTTTTGTGTCGAGCTCAGCTTCTTGTTCCTTCACTTTCATGCTTACTTTGCTGTTTGTCTCACTTTTAATTGTAAGCAGGTCTCATTTTTTAGTTTTTTATGGTTCTGCTGAGCATGGAAAACAAGTTTTATTTAGATTTTTGTCATGAAAGGATTTTAGATTTATGGTTCCTGCTGAAACTATCTCTGTTTTTAGTGGCAGTGGCTGAAACAGAACGTCTGCAGACTTTAATGACTCTGTCTCTACATGTGTCTGTGCAGGCCAGTGCTTCCTGTGCATGGTGGACGTGGTGCCGGTGAAGAACGAGGATGGCCTGGTGATCATGTTCATCCTGAACTTTGAGGTCATGACTGAAGAAGTGCTGAAGGACCACAAACGGGAGCTGAATCACCGCCTGCCCACCTGGCTTGTTACAGGTAACTATAGGGAACATAGAATGTTAATTTTTCAGCACCAGGTGTGTCTTTTTCTAAGCATTGATGTTGAAGGCGTTGTGATAAAAGAGCATTCACATGAGCTCACCTCGCATTCAGCAGACATTTATTTATTTAAAATAATCTTTCTTTCAGATTATGTTCAGGGCTGAAAGCTCAATCCCATCAATGTTTCTGTCCCACATCTGATCCACCTCCAGTTTTTAATCCACTCATCCCACAGCAGGTCGGCAGACAGTTTTATTCTCTGTTTTCCCGTCTCTCTCTAAGGTCGTCCTCGAGGTTTCAAGCTGCGTCTCCCTCATCTGCGCTCGCTGTCCAACAGTAAAGCGTCGCTGGAGGACGCAGAGGCCGCTCACATCCCCACGGCGATGCCGCTGCATCCGGACCTCAGTCCGGAGTCCTTGGGTCTGAGCGAGTTCCTGCCGCTGCCGCCTTTAGCGCCACAACACCAGGAGCAGCTGAGTGGAAGCAGGTGGGTGCCATAGAGAGGCTGACCACAGATCAGAGCTTCAATCAGGGATGTTCCTTCATCTCTCTGTTCTTCTGTCGTAGGTCGGCTCTTCAGAACTGGCCAGAGGATCATCAGGAGGACCAGCGAACGCTCATCTGCTCAGAGACTCCCATCCCTCGAATACCCCCCATGGTGGGGCCCCTCAACCAGTCGACCCCCTGCGTGGTGCCGCGCCACCACCTCAGCCTCAACCCGGACGCCTCGTGCTCCAACTGCACCCTGACTCGCAGCCGCTCGCGGGAAAGCTTCCACAGCATGAGGCGAGCGTCCTCCGTGGACGAGATCGAGGCCCTGAGGCCCGAGTGGGACCGGAAGAACCGCAGGGCTAGCGTCCGGCCAGCCAGCAGCAGCACCGGTGAGTGCGGAGGGGGAGAGCAGCGTCTGGTCGCCTTTTATCCGTCTACAGAGGGTATGTTTTCCTTTATGGATTCAAAAAATACATAAACCTGATATTAAACTTATTAATTGACAAATGTTTTCAGAGCAACTTAATAGTAAATTCATTTTTTTATTTTATTTTAAGAGTAATTTTTAGGGATGCAGGATATAATCGGCCCCCTATCGGTATCGGACTTAAAACTGAATATCGGACATCGGCCACCCCACCGATATTTAACCCGATATTTGATCAGCTTCTGAGTTTCTAAAGTCTAAAAAAAATATACTACTTCTTCTTCTTCCTCAAAAACTTCTTTTTTACAGACTTAAAAACTTCTAAAGACGAGGGAAAAAATATTGATCCATTAAAATATCCCAATATCTTCATATGCTGATATATTGCCATTTAAAAACACCATATCAATCTCTTTTACTAATGAAATATTGCTATATGTCATCGTTATGCTACGAAATCCCCCGAAAATTCATGAAATGTTGATATATTGACGCGGTATCGATCTATTTTACTAACAAAATCTCACAAGAATTTGCGAAATATCACGAGAGTTTGTAACAGAACGATGAAATTTCACGAGATTTTGAAAGTCAAATAGATCGATACCGCGTTTTTAAAAATCAATTTGATATCAGCATATGAAAATATATTTGAGTATATTATTTTTCAAAGTGTCAGAAATGGATAACAAAACTGCTATTTTCAATGACTATTTATTTTTGTTCAGCTTTAACATCAGTATCGATATCGGTTATCGGCTACATGAGTTTTAAAATATCGGCATATCGGCCAAAATCCCAATAATGTGCATCCCTAGTCATTTTATTTTTTCTCTCATATTTTATTCTTTTGAGTTTTTTTTTTTTATATAAATGCTTAGCAGATCGTATGAGTTAAATTTTTTGCTAAATTTTTGTCATGTTATAATTTCTAAACCTTAATTTTTTAATCTTTCTCTGATCCATCCATCCATTATCTGACACGCTTGTCCCAAATGGGGTCACGAGGGGTACTGGTGCCTATCTCCAGCAGTCAATGGGTGAGAGGCGGGGTCCACCCTGGACAGATCGCCAGTCCATCGCAGGGCAACACAGAGACAAACAGGACATGCAACCATTCACACACACACCTTTAGATTTAGAGAAGCCATTTAACCTAACAGTCATGTTTTTAGACTGTGGGAGGAAGGCGGAGTACCCGGAGAGAACACATGCATGCTCAGGGAGAACATGCAAACTCCATGCAGAAAAACTCCGGGTCAATATCATCTGATGAACATATACAGCACTTGCTTTTTTTATCTATGCATTCAATTTTGATAGCTGGGAAAAATATCAACAAAGGTTTTCAGAGCAACTTAATAGTAACTTAATTTTTATTTTTTATTTTAAGAGTAATTTTATTTTTTCTGTCATATTTTATTCTTTTGAGTTAATTTTTTTTATACATATGATTAGCAGATTGTATGGGGTTAATTTTTTTGCTAAATTTTTGTCATGTTGTAATTTTCAAACCTTAGTTTTTATATCTTTCTCTGATTTGAAATTTTATTTTGTTTCTTTTTCACATTTATTTATTTTTTCCTGATTTAAAATTGATATATTTTTTTAAATATTTGTTTATTTTAATTGTAATTTTTTTTTTCCTGATTATGCATTTATTCTATTTTTCAAGCTTCTCTTTTTCAGATTGAATTTCTCATAGTGCATTCCTTTCACTTTACGTTTTAGGCAAGGCAAGGCAAATTTATGTGTATAGCACAATTCAGTACAAAGTCAATGCAAAGTGCTTTACATGATTAAAATACAGGAAGATAAAACAGAATCAAAGCAAGTACACTACAAAAAATCTAAACCTAGATAAGTCATTTTTTTTCTTAAAATAAGTTCCTTTGGTATTGAATTGATGAGGCAAAAGAGACATTTTGCCAATGGAACAAGACAATTTACACATAAAATAAGAAATCATAATTGAATTGTCTTATTTCAAGTACATATTATCTAATTATCTTACTGTAGGAGTAAAATTACTCATTACATTGGCAAACTGTCTCATTTACCTACTCAAATTAAGGGTAAATACACCTAATTTAAGACATTTTTACTTAATTCTAGAACGTTTTTGCAGTGTAGGAAAAAAAGATAAAATAAAAAATGCTGTAGTCACATTTTCTTTACTTAAAGTCAAACACAGACACTAACTTTGCACATTGATCAATAAAAATACTGCTGCTAACGACCACATAGAGCAGACCTATAGATACGCATCTTTGCTCCTAACTCCAGGGTAATTCCCATGTCCAAAGGTGATATCTATATTAAAAAAAAGATTAATAAAATATGAAAAAAATAATTTTGAAAATAAAATGTGAGGAAAAAAGGGAAGTTACTCTCGAAAGCTTATTTGATGAAGAAGTTTTTACAAATTAATGTACAATAATGAAACAAAGTTCTCTCCATATAATATCCTAACTGGGTGTGTCTCTTTCCAGGCGCAGTAAACAGCAAGTCTAACATCCTGAACTCCACCTCGGACTCGGACCTGATGCGCTACCGCACCATATCCAAGATCCCCCAAATCACCCTCAACTTTGTGGATTTCAAGCCGGACCCCCTCATCGCCCTGCCCCCTGGAGAGATGGACATCATAGCGCCGTGCAAGCTGATCGACAGGACGCACAACGTCACCGAGAAGGTCACACAGGTAGGACGGCTTCCATGAGGGAGGAGGTGGAGCTTTGCTGGTTTCTATCTTTGATCTGTTTCCTCTGCTGCGGTTTATGTAACTCGGAAGGTAAAGGTGTCAGTAGCTGTGAAGTTTGCATGGATGCAAATCTACGATCTCTTTATGTGTTTCGCTCCAGTCAGTTGAGTGAGCAGAGAACACCTACTGACTTTCATCAGACTGGGATTGCTTGAACATTGATAAGAGGATTACTCTGCATCTCAGCAGAACTAAGCTTTTTACTGCCTGGTTCTGTTGTGCAGTAAAAACATCAGCATATAAAAACTGACCTCAGCATGTTCAGGAAAAGATGTTTGATTCGATCAGCAAACCGATCACCGACAAAATTTATTGGTAATGATAAATTATACAAATATATGATTAGCAGGTTTTTAAATCTTTCTTTGATTTGAAATTTAATTTTGTTAATTTTGTTAATCATGGTTACTGATAGATCCTTTGGACCTATTTTATTTTTTTCTTTACAAATTCTGTTTTATTAACTGTTTAAAAACATGGCATAAGTGGTATTGAGATAGGATCCCAGTTTTCATCTGCTGAATGTTTTCTTCCAAAACAAATGTAAAAAAAAATACTCTACTTTTTACAGCTAATTTGAACAGTTTTTCTTTAATTCTAATTCAGATTTTATAGAAAACTGTAATTTCAACTTAAATTAAGTTAAAAAAATAAGTAAAATTCCTAAATTCTGAATGTATACACTGGAAAAATTATCAAGAAATAAGTAAACTTTTCTTAAATTAAGTGTATTTACCCCTAATTTGAGTAGGTAAATGAGATAGTTTGCCAATGGAATGAGTATTTTTACTCTTAAAATAAGATATTTAGATAAAATGCACTTGAAATAAGACAAGGCAATTGCATTGTCTTATTTTAAGTGTAAATTGTCTTGTTCCATTGGCAAAATGTCTCTTTTACCTCTTCAACCCAAGAACAAATGCACTTATCTTAAGAAAAAATAACTTATCTAGATTTGGATTTTTTCCAGTATTGACCTATTAAGACATTTAGAATTTTAATGAAACCTAATTGAATAGAAATTTCACTTCATGCAGCTATCTTAATTTATTTGAATCCCTTGGCCTATTTTTCATTTCATGCTTTTCCGTGGCCCCATGAAAACACGCTGGCCCCCTCCTGGCCCCCCTGGTACATTTGGTCTAGAACCGCCACTGTGTACAGACTCCTGTTTGTTTCATCACACTGTCTTCCTCTCAGAGCGGTTTGGACGGATTGATGCGTTCTGTCAGATTCAGTTCACCGTTTTTTTACTGGTTCCTGTGTTTGTTTATTGGTGGGACCTTCTTTGGATTACCCAAAGATTTTCTTTCTCTTCTTTTAAACGTCTATCTCGACATTTGAAATGATCTTTAAAGTGTTATTTATTTTTCTTTCTATCCAGAATCTTCTTTTATTTTATGTTTTTCTAAATGGGTCGTTTGATTGATTCAGGTCATCAGTGTCTGACCCTCAATCTTTCAGTCCTGAAACACCAACCAGTTAACTGTTTAAAGGTGTTTTCACCCTTAAATCAGACTTTTTCTTGTTAAAACATGTATATTGGTGTCAGGCTTTGATTAAAATCTGGGGAATGATTTGTTTTTTCATGACACAAGAGTTTGAGTTCTCTATTGGCGTTAATATAGGAAGGATGCTAACGTTAGCTCCACTTCCTATCATCGCTCCCGTCTCTATTCCTCTAAAAATTGTCGATTTCAAAAATCAAGGACTTATATTCCTTATTTGGCTATTTTATTTTGTTGTAAAATATTTTTTGTCTGCCAAAGGGGTTTTATAAATAACCTTTCCTCACTTACTTTGTTATTTTCTGCCAATAAGGATTGTTTTCATTTACTGTCTCCTGGTGTACACTGTTAGCCTGACGTAGTCCTACTCAATTCTAGTCAGAATATGAGTCTGATGCTGCTCCATAGAGCTGTGATTATGGGGCGTGTTTTGAACGAACCAGGAAAAAAAATGCCTCTGCACTCAATTGGATAGACCTACATCCAATAAGAGCAACGGAGTGCGTGACGTATGTTAACCGGCGCATTTTTGTTGTGAACAAAATTCAAAGCGTGCAGTTGCACGCCTAGAATAAGAAGATGAGCCTTGATCACGTTTCTCTGTTCCTCTTTTAAAATTAATTTGCTGTCGATATCTTCTAGAACAGACCTAATAGCAGAATCTACTCACCTCAACTCTCCAGCGGCAGCCATTGTTGTTGTCACCCAAGCGCGCTTTGGTCACGTGGTTGATTACGTTACAGATGGAGCTTGGCCATTTAAGGCTTTATATGTGAGAGGAGGATTTTAAATTCTATTCTGGATTTAAGAGGAAGCCAATGAAGAGAAGCCAGGATAGGAGAGATGTGATCTCTCTTTTTCATTTTCATCAGAACTCTGGCTGCAGCATTTTGGATCAGCTGAAGGCTTTTAACTACAACTCAATTTAGGTGGGTTTAATGAGGTTTACAGGAACTGAGGCAGGAATCAAAAAATTCCAACAGAAATAACAAACGAACCAGAACCAAGGAGACATCAGGGGAAAACCAAACAAAGAGAGGGCTAACGAGAGGATTGAAAACAGGTGAGGACAGAGCAGAAAACAGAGCTAGGGAAAGAGGACACAAGGGGGCAGCAGAGGACAACAAATGGAAAACCAAGACTGTGACAATTGGTTAATGTTTTTTTAATACAGTAAACATTATACTGTAGTTTAATCTATTCTACATATAGTAATTAATGAAAACTACTAGCTTTTTAAGTTTTATAACAACAACAAAAAAGTAATCAATTATTATAACCACTAGGGATGTAAATCACATCCATCATGGCGATTCGATTCAGTATCGATTTCTAAACTCTTACTTTACTAAACTCGCCCCCACTTCCTCGCCGCCTCGGCCGTATCTAGACCCACAGCGTGTAGCACAGACCACGCTTCAATATTGAGCATAATTTTAAAATGTCTGCGTCAAGCTCACTGCAACACACTGCTGTAAGAGTATAACCAGGAAGCGCGGTAGGAGGGCAAAATAGGTTTAGCGCCACCGCAGCACGGGAGGGAGAATTACGCCCAGGAGCAAATGGATAAAAATAGACCGGAGGAAAAAAAAAAAACATGAATCGATTCTCTTGCGGACGTATCGATACATCGGATCGTCGGCTGTTGGATCGAGGCATCAATACAAAACGATTATTATTGACACCCCTAATAACCACTACAGTATGTAGATCAGTTATTCAGTACCTGAGTAGTCTTTTTCCCAAAAACTTTTTTACTCTTATTTAAGTAATTTCTTTAAAGTTAAATTTTTTTACTTGAGTAAAAATATGATAAAGTAGGGCTACGTTTATTTAAGTACAATATTATTTAGTAGAATTAATATTAGTACTAAAGGGAGATGTAAACAATGAATTGTTCTGAGTGTAATTCAGACTTTCTATGCCTTCCAGGGTTAATGGTGGATCACTAAATGCAATCATGCCCCACAGCATGTGAGGTTCAGCTGGCAAGGTTAAAACACAACCCTCTATATGTGTGTGTGTGTGTGTGTGTGTGTGTGTGTGTGTGTGTGTGTGTGTGTGTGTGTGTGTGTGTGTGTGTGTGTGTGTGTGTGTGTGTGTGTGTGTGTGTGTGTGTGTGTGCATACATGTGCATTAACTGATGCTGTGTACTGTAGTTGTTATATAGTGCAGATGGGAGGAAGCAGCACCAGCTGTGTCTCCAAATGGTCTTCTATTTATAGCCGACTAATGGGAAGAATGGAGGAAAACTATAAAGAAGTCAAAGCTTTGTTATATCTGTAGATATAAAACCACTAATTCTTCTCCTTTCATTAATCAACATATTAACCCCAAACACATCCAGCGACCCAAAATAAAACCATTTTCTCTCTTGATTAGATCCGTTTTCTGCCTGTTTTCACTTTTTAAACTGCTCTTCATTTTTTTTTTTATCATAAGCTTATTTTCTTAATAATTTCGGTTCCAAAAGTTCGGTTTTCACGATTATTGTGAGGTGGTATCAGAAATATATGGAGTGCACCAGTCTATAATCCGAATCAGAAATACTTTAATAATCCCAGAGGGAAATTACTTTTGTTACACGCTCCAGTCACAGTTTTATATAATATATACACACATCCAACTACACAAAATAATAAAGATAAAAAATAAGAATAAAAAGAGATAAAATATATATAGCTCTTCAATTGAAATGAAATGCATACATGCCCCTTTAAGTAAATAAAATGTACCATTGAATAAGTAGATGTAAGATTTGCTTATTTATGTAATTTATGATGTGAATATTAAATATTAAACCAAATTTTTAGATGCACCAACTATTTAAATATCTAAAAAACATTCAAAATAATAATTTAAATGTAATAAATGTGTTAATTTAAATAAGTGCATTTAAATATGTTTAAAAGTATCCATATGAAAATAAGTAAAATAATAATATATACATATATTTAGGTGGTGATTTTTCTGTTGGTTTGTTTTTTGGGAGCCCTTGGTCCTCCTGCATTACCGCTTCCACCCTGAAGAGGGTAGCACCGCTGTGTCGAGTAGAAAGAGAGCTGACCGGCCCCAGCAATCCCTCATCAAAGCTGTGAAAATGGTGTTGTGGTGCAAACAAGGTTGAATAATTTACATGTTTCATAAACCATGTGAGGGAGGACAGGAACACGTGCAGATTTTCTGTCTCATTGGAATGACTCCTGGCGCTGTCCCCCCCCCCTCTCATCTGAACGTGGAGTTTGTTTGCCTCCTGTGAGTCTTCGTGACCGAGCCTTGTGCTCTCAGTCTGCCTCCTAAGTGCCGACTTATGTTTCTGCGCTGGGAGGAAATTGCTGGAATGTAGAAGGAACATCTGCCTTTAAATGGGATTGTTTATGCAAAGAAGGCATCTGCAGCGTGTGCTGCCTTTACCTTAACAAACCCCACTGA